GCCCTTCAATCAGCCATTTCTCCAAGAAGCCCTGGTTCCTTTTATTGGAGAATGATATTTAGAAACCAAGATCTAGAGGCTAGGTGTGTTCATTGCTAGTGGGATACCATTACGTCTAGGCTCCTTCAGCAGACAGAGCTAGGAAATATACATACATATATATCTACTTATCTATATATCTATCTGTGTCTCTATCTACCTCTTAAAAATCTCGAGTACATACGGGTATCTCGAATTCTAGTCTAATACCACAAAATTCATTCTAGCCTTCTGCTTTTTCATATTTGTAACTTCTTTCATCAACACTGAAAAATCTGGCTTTCATTATTTACACTATATTTACTTATTTGTTCGATCTTCGTATATACATAAAAGAGTTTCAGAATTGCTAACCCATTGCTCTGTGAGAAATACACTTACTAAACGGAGGGCAGACCCCTTAAGCAGCAAGACAAACACAGTTCTTTTTGTCTTTAGCCCTATATAATGTAGTCAAAATATGGTTTTCTTTTCTGTCTTTTTTGTTCATTTGTTTGTTTTTTTTTTAGAGACAAGGTCTCTCTCCGTCACCCAGGCTAGAGTGCAGTGGCACAATCATAGCTCACTGTAACTCCTGGGCTCAAATGATCCTCCCTCCTCAGCTTCCCAAAGTGCTGGGATTAAAAGCCTGAGCCACTGCCTGTGGCCAGTTCATAATTTCTTAATGATTCAATTCACTACACTTATAGATGCAATATCCTCCACAATATCGTTGAAAACATGAATGAGAAATATTTAACAAATGTTTTTCTCCTTCCATTTGTGGAAATTTAGTTTCAAAGAATACTAATTTCATCTGATCACGTCCCTTTCTTTTGAAAGTCTGAATCTTTTTGTGTTTTCCTATCATGGGTTTTTCTCTGTTTGCTCATCTGTACCAGAGGGAGTCTGTGTTTATCCAGGGGTGGCAATTGAGGGGGTTCTGCTGATCACCAGGATACACTATGAGTAGTCAGTGACTAAGTGCAGAGAGACATTCTAGTCTAGGCAGAGGGGTCAGAGTGAAGACGGGGACAGGGATATGAACGTCCATTGTGGACTTTTCTTTTCCCATGTTTTATGTACTGAGATATACTTTACAAAGAGCAGGACATGCAACTTTTAAGCGAACATACTTTTTCATATGTACACACCACCTAACCACCATCCAGACAAACATACCTACCACCCTGGAAAAGTTCACCCATGCCCTGTTTCCAGTTAAACTGCTCCCCTCCCTCAAGATACCCACCATTCTGACTCCTAGTCACCACAGACTAGTTTGCTGATTCTTGAACTTCACATAAATGGAATCACGAAGTATATTTTCTCTTGTGTCTGGCTGCTTTTGCTCAACATGATGTTTGTGAGATTCATCCATGCTGATACATGCATCGGAACTTTATTCCTTTGCATTGCAGAGTAGCATTCCATTGTATGAATATCCTATAATATTTTTAATGCATTATACTAATAATGATATTTGGGGTGTTTCTAGTTTGGGCTATTATGAATAAAGCAGTTATAATCATTCATATATATGTTTGCATGGACATACACATTTAATTTATCTTGGATATATACCTAAGAGTAGAATTGCTGGGTCATAGGTTGATGTATATTTAACTTTATTAGACTCTGCCAGTTTTCCAAAGTTGTTGTGCCATTGTACACTCCTGCAAGCAATACATGCAGTGTTCCAGTTGCTCTATATCCTTGTGTTTTCAGTCTTAATTTTAGCTATTCTAATGGCTGTAAAGAGGTAACTCACAACTTTAATTTGCAATTCTCCAATGATTAAATATTTGAGCAGTTTTTTATGTGTGTAGTAGCTATTCATATAACTCCCAGTTAAACTGCTCCTCTAGCCCATGATACCCACCATTCTGACTCCTAATCACCATAGACCAGTGTGCTGGTTCTTGAACTTCATATAAATGGAAGTGTCCAAGTCTTTTGTGAAGTGTCCAAGTCTTTTGCCCACTTAAAAATTGCATTGTTTGTCTTTGTTACTTTTGAGTTGTAGGAATTCTTTACATATTCTGGATATAAGTTACTTGTATAGCATGGTTTCTGGTGTTGAAATGCTATGGATAGTAAAGATGTCAACTGAGATAGGTGAGAGAAGGAGTTTGGGAGAAAGATGAGGAGTGCATTTTAGGGCATGGGGTGATTAAGGTGTCTTTGGATTGATGGTCCAGGTATAGAAGTGCAGAAAGCACTTGGAACTGGAGACCTGGAGCTCAAGTCTGGGCTCTAGATTTGGGAGGGATCAGTGTGACGGGAATGGATGAGATTGCCCAGGGAGCAGCCTTATTTAAAACCTCAAGCATTGCAGTGTTTAAGGGATGAGGAAGAAAGTGAAGCCAGAAAAAGCAAACAGAACCAGTGGTCAGAGGTGGAGGAGGAGAAGCCAAGGGGGGAATTTTCAAGAGGGGGTGGCGTCAAATGCTGCAGTGAGGTAAGAAAATGAAACCATTGGAGTTGGCATTTGGGATTTCCCTGGTGACTTTTTTTCAGAGAATTGAATAAATGTAAGATGAGGAAGTGGGGACAGGGGTAGACTCCTCTTTGAAAACATTAGGCAGTGAAAGGAAGTAGAGCAATTACAAATAGGCATATATTTTAAAAACAAAGCAGCAAAAGAGCTGTACAAAGCGGCACACAATTAAGTGCCTGACAAGTGACAGATGCACCTTCCAGAGTCTTTCCAAGCCACTCTGGGGAGGTGGGAAATAAAAGAGGATGGGTAGGTGTCAGGTGCTGATCAGATGATCAGTGGCCCACCCTCTAGGCGCAGGGAGACAGAACCCAGTGTCGGAGGGGGAATAACATACAAGCTCAACATCTGGGTCACAGCTGCTGGTGGAGAAGAGAATGCCCACCGCTGAGGGGATGCGGAATGGGAACAAGCTGGCTTTGTGGGATGCTCAGCTCCCTGGGAGTGAGCTCTAATAAGCAACTCTGTTGGAGCTTTCCTCCATCTTCAGTTTTAGGAACACCAAGGATATGGAAGAAGTCAAGCATCGCATAACTTCTCTGGCAGGTTCTTTGCCTTTCAAAGTGCTCTCCTAGGCCGGGTGTGGTGGCTCACACCTGTAATCCTAGCACTCTGGGAGGCTGAGGTGGGAGGATCCCTTGAGCTCAGGAGTCTGAGACCAGCCTGAGCAAGAGTGAGATCCCATCTCTACCAAAAAGGAAAAAATCAGCTGGGCATTGTGAAGTGCGCCTGTGGTCCCAGCTACTCGGGAGGCTAAGGTAGGAGGGTCTCTTGAGCCCAGGGGTTGGAGGTTGCAGTGAGATATTAATATAATGACGCCACTGCACGCTACTCAGGACAACAGTGTGAGACTCTGTCTCAAAAAAAGAATCTGAACAACCTTCCTCATAAATATATTATTAAAATTATAATTAAAAAAATTTTAAAACGTGTTTTGATATGGCATGTACCGTGTCTTTCTTACTACTTGATTCCTGATTCCAGAGCAGTTCTACCCCTTCCTCCCTACCCTGGCCACCTCTGGGCTGTCTCCACCTTCCCTCTTCTCTTCTCCAAATGCCTGTATTTCTGTGGTGGCAAAAGTAGGGACTGGGAGGACAGACGACTGGAGGACAGAAGACTGGAGTCCTTGCCCACCCTCATCAAGCTGGACCTTCTCTGTGAAGGGGTGGTGGTGGGGGCAGGTGGTGGGCGAGGAGTAGGAAAGGCACTTACTTGATGGGTCCGAGTTCCTTCCCATCTCTAACGATGGCTGCAACCAGTCCTCCGTGTTTGCCCAAGGGTACTTTCTGTTTCTATCCATTTGGGGAAGTTGCATTTTCTTGGTATTTAGAGAGTCAGGAAAAGAAAAGCCATTGATGTTCACATCTCTCAAAGCCTCAGGTAGGGCTGCGGCTTTTGACCAACAGTAACGTATGACCCTGTGGTTGAGTCTGCACGCCTCCAACAGATAGATGTTGTGACACAGAGTCCCATTCATAGTGGAAGTGGAAATTTCAGCTTTGCCCTTTGTTAACCCTAAACTAAAGTACTAACTGAGCAAGTAGCCAACCTTCTTATCCCCATTTTGTAAATGGGGAAACTGAGGCACAGGGAAGTGCAGTGACTTGTGGGATTCCCTGGGGAATCCTTCCAACTCATGGTATAGTGACGTCTGCTATGTTGTCTGCGGGGAGAAAGGGCCAGGCAAGCAGAGGGCTTGACCCTGGAGACAGGACCCCACCCCACCCCAGGGGCTTGGACCAGGCTGAAGTGACATAGTCCCTGAAGTGATGGCGACCCTGGCGCTGGTGAGGGAAGGGGGGAAATCAGACCAAAGGCTGGAAGAGCAGTGCTGAAAGTCGGGATTGGTATTTCTAGGAAGGTTCTGCAGAAGGGTGGGGGTCGAGGTGCCCATCCGCACAGCAGGGGTGCAGGCATTTTAAGGGTTAAGAGCACCCAAAGAAAATAGAAGTAGGAGGAGGAAGTGGGGCGCTGGGTCGCAGAGAGAGAAGGAAGCAGCTCGTCGGAGCTTCCTCTTTCTCCTCTTTCCCCGAAGCCCCCACCCCAAGCCTCTCTCCCTGCACCGCCCACCTCTCCGGAGGAGCCAAAGCCCCGCTTCCACCCCCTTGGCAGAGCCTCACCTTACTCCTGTGGGGTCGCTGGTGCTCGACGCTGGCGTCCCCCTGGCCACAGCCATGCATCGATCAGGGTCTGTTCCTTCCGAGGGCAGGAGCGCTCAGAGCCTGGGTGGGGGGTTGGGAGGTGGGGAAAAGGGGATGCATCTCAGATGCTTGGCGGGCTCCTGAGCTTGACCCCTAGGATGCCTGGGCCAGTCCGCACCTGGCTGACACGGCCCGGCCACCAGGTGGCGGGAGAGGCCGGCTAGACGGACAGCCCCCCCCAGGCCCCGCCCCGAGCAAGCCCCGCCCCCGAGGCCCCGCCCCGCCCGCTGCCCGCTGCCCGCCCGAGGAGCGGAGCCTCGTTAGATACCCGGTCTTGTGCGCGGCTGCAGCTGGAGCGCGATGGTCCCGACGGCCACTCGGATTGCAGGGAGTCGCTGCTAAAGAGGGGCTCGGCGCCCGGCGGGGAGTGCAGGTGTGTGGCTGGGCAGCAGGGACGGGTGCAGAGGGCACGTGTGGGAGCTCCAGGCAGAGCCGGAGCGGGCTGGGGCCGTCGGGGAGCGGTGGGCTCTGAGAGCAGCCGCTGCAGCAGGCAGGCTGGACAGGTCCTGCTGTCTTCCTGCATAGGGCCCACCGCGGGGGCACTGGGTCTGCAAACCCCCGTGACAGATACTCCCGGAGACGGAAGGGGCGTCCCGGGGACCGTGCTTCATTATCTTGGTAGCCACTGCTGGACGCCTCTATGCAACTGAGTGTGTCCGCAGCCAGCCTCCTGCCTCCGTCACAGGCCGCCCTGTGTTGTGGGGTCAGGGACGCTGCCCCCTCCGGCTGGGAGCTCTCTCGGTGAGCGTGGTCTTCAGGAGTCCTTTGCCATCAGAACCTGGGAGTCGTGGAAATGCCCACCTTCGCCGAGCCTCGGCATGCCCCTCTAGTTAGGGTGCTGGGCCTCCAGAGAGTGGCTGCTGTTGTAGAGAACTGTTCGCTTTGTGCTGTCGGAGGATCCCTGTTTACACGCCGCGTGTCCCCGCGTGACTCTGTGTGTGCGTGTGTGTGGACGCGCGTGCGTGCTTGCATGCTGCCCCGTCCTAGGCCCAGGGTAAATACACAAGAAGTTCAGGTCAGTAGGAGGAAGGAGATTGTTCAGAGGGAAAAGGAAGGCGAGATGAAAGCAGCAGGATGTGGTATAAGGTGAGTTAACCAGCCCCGGAGCAGAAAGGAGAGGGGGGTTTAGGCAAAATGAGGGCTAAAAGTAAGTCAAGTCTGCCTGGAGGGTCCTTTCTGGATTGCTGTGTCTTCTCACCCAGCTTGCCTTCCTCCTGCCCTCAGGACCACCTGTAAGGCGCTGGTTCCCAGAGCTCTCCTGGAGTGTTCTCCAGGCCCCAGCGCTACAACACAGCTTTCCAGGGGTGGGGGCTGGAATCTGTATTTTGCAAAAATTTTAATGAGCTTCTTGAGTGATGATGCTGAACCATTGCTAGGGAACCATGTGTTATGTGGAAAACAGACCTGAGTTCCAGCCAGGCCCTTCAGCATCTTTACTGCTCCTCTCCCAGCCTCAGTCTCCTAATCTGTAAAATGGGCTCTCATAGTGACCCGGAGGGCTATGTGGAAAATTAAATGAGGCAAGTGTGATGAGAGCAGCTGCACATGGGAGGGGCTCCATGCATGTTTGTAGAAAGAGGGCTTCTGTGCTTCCTCAGTGTGGCCTTGGTGGTGTGGGTCTTCACCTAGGGGGTCATGGAAGACAAAGGAGACAGTTTTGTATGGTCAAGCTCTCTCTTCCTGCTTCAGGGCACCCTCCCCTGCTTTTTGAAGCCCAAATAGCCAGGACTGTGGGGCAGGAAGGCTCGGGGTCTTTGTGTGCTGGGCATCATTGGGGTTTTAAGAACCGCCCTCCTCTTATCTCCAGCTTAAGGGAGGAATGGTTCATTATCTTCCCTCCCAAGCTGCAGTGGAAGCAGAACACCTCTGCCTTCCATTTCCCTTTCCTCCCTCCCATGTACTGCTTTTTGTTTCTTTCAAGAATAGTAGGGTGGAAGCTAACAGGGGTACTGGGCAACAAGGGTCTTTGGGGGTGATGGTGGCATGAGGATGAGAAGGCAGGGGGTGCAGGCTGCCCCCCACTCCCAGGTCAGTCATTGGTCAGAGGCCTGCTGGCTGAGGAGTGGCAGTGGAGAGGAAGCCAGGAGCCTTTGTGCCTGGGCAGCCTAGAGTTTGGAAGCCCCAGCTTGGTTTCCACAGAGCACTCAAGCTGTGCTGCCTTGGCCTTCATTCCAAGGCGCTCACCCCAAGGGGCTGAGCTGGCTGGCCCTGTGGGAGCCCTGTGAACCAGAAGACCTATTTGGCCTCAGCTGGTGGGCTGAAAGCCTGAATCAGTATTTTTAAGAGAGGAAACTTCTAGAGGGGCAAGATAGAGTGATTATCAACAGGTCAAGGAAATGGCATTTGGTTTGATTTTTGGGTCTCTGGCATTGATTGGGGGACAAAGGAAAGACTACATCTGACTTCTGCCCAAAGGGAAGATGGTACACTCCCTTAGCAAACACATATTACGTATTAGGATATTTCATCAATTTGAAGATGTATATATTTTCACATTTTAGCAACTCTGAAATCAAGGTGACTCTTAGTGTCTATGGCATCTTATGATTTTAATAGGCAGCAATATTTCTTCCTTAGTGGCACACAAAACAATGTTGCCTCTTGCAGTTGATGGCACCTTAGATTCTATTAAATACAATATATGTTATACAGATTTGGGTCTGCTTTAGGTACACATAGAATTATGTCATTCTCATAATTTGCATACATTAATTTTTCCAGTAGCTCTACTTTCTAAGCACCAAAACTTTTCACTATATCTAGTTTTAAAGGAAATCTTTGAAAAATGTGTTGTTTACCTTTATAAATAGAGCACATTGGGTATGATTTAATAATTTCCTGAAAACTTTATCAAATGGTTCTAGCCTGCTGTTCTCTTTTGTACCCTGGGACTGTCTGCTCAGCACACATTTGTGGTCCCTTGTTCTTCATACTTCTTTCTGCCCCTTTCCCCTTTGGCCATGATTTCATGGTATTGGCCATGGTGCTAAGTACATCATATCCTTGAATCTTCACAGCCGCACTCTGAGGTGGCTACAGCTAATTGCACCCATTATACAGATAAGGAAATTGAGGGCCAAGCCCTCATGACTAGCAAGTGCCAGAGCTGGGCTGACTCTGGCATGTGTTTTTGATCAGAGGTGACCAAGCCTGAGTGGTAGCCTGTGTGTTCCTGTGGGTCCCAAGTGCATGCCGTGTGGTGCATGACTTTGGGGCCATCCAGGTGTTTTTGTTTATTTGCTTGCTTGCTTCTCGACTAGCAGCTGGTTCTGGATATTTGAGGTTATCAGTTATGTGACTTCTGGATAAGCCAGTCATAGCTGGGTGGTGGCCGATGAATGGGAAGAAGTGGATGATTTTTGTGGCACAAAACAGATACTGGGTCCTTCTTGAGTCTTCTAAGTCTGCCACCTGGGGTGCTAGACTTTGGGCCTCAGAGTCTGGCTTCAGTGGGAGACTCCTGCCTCTGGCCTCCAGCTTCTCTCCTGCTGCCAGGGTGAGGTCCCATGAGATAGCTGAGCACGTTACTTTCCAGCTGAGAACCCTGCAGAGCTGCATTGCCCTCTAGCCACGGCTAGCAAGGCCTCCCACCACCCAGCCCAGGTCCACCCCTCCTGCTGTCTCTCTTGGAGCTCGGTCAGACTTCTGTGCCTTAACATGTGCTGTTCCTGGTCCCCGATTGCCCTTCCCCTCTTCCTGCCTGGTGAGCTGCCCATTCCTCCTTCAGTGTCTGCCTCAAGCCTTGTGTTCTGAATCCATCCCCACTCCCCTCCTCACCCTACAGCACTGAGCCCTCCTTCTGTCCTCATCATGCTTTCTGCGTGCTCCTGCCATAGCCCCGGCCGCCCTGGCCTAAAGGGTCTGACCAGTGACGTGGCCTAGCGATGGCCTGCTCACTGCAGTCACCTAATGCTCAGCGTAAGGCATCAAGCTATCGCCAGGAAACTCACTGGGATCTCATAGGCAAGAAGTTCACACCTAGCAACAGGGATGAACGCAGGCTGGGGTGGGGGGCTGGGACTGGGGCAGAAGGGAGTGGCCTGCTTTTCATTTCGGTGTCCTCCAGAGTCTCATCTTGTTGCTGTTGTCGACTTAGGCAAATAAGCTTGTGTGGTTTCCCTGTGGGGGCAGGGCTGAGGTGTGAGGGCTGAAGGTGCTTTCTAGGATCCTGCCGTACATGGAGCCAGGGGGCCTTGTTTCCGCCTGGCTCCTCCGCGCCTGGCCACGTGAACTTGGCTCGGTCTCCGTGTGCCTGTCTGGGTGCGGTTTCCCCGTCTGTAAGATGAAAGTGCGGCACTCGAAGCCTTCTGCAGCCTCCCCAACCTCTAATATTCAGCTCCTTCGCTCAACGCTTTTGGATGGAGCACACCTTCTCCACGTGCTCGGCTCCGAGGATGCGAAGCAAGACAGACCGTGTTCGCGCACTCATGGAACTCAGAGCCTAGTGGGCAGGACACGCAACACACACATTGTTTAATTGCAATTGTGAGAATTACGGGACACAGGGAGATTTTGGGAAGGGAGCCTAATACAGTTTGAGAACTAAGGAAGGCCTTCCCTGAAGTCATACTTGAGTGAGACTTGAGAGAGATGAAATAAAAGAAAACAATGATGATGATGATGATATCTATCATTTGGTGAACACTTGCTAAAGTCTCGTTGGGTGCATTTTCTCAGGCATTCTCTGCAGTAACTCTGTGGGGTATGTGGGCTTCCTCTCCTGTGAGCAGGAGAACATCACTGCTTGACAAGTGACAAGTGCCCAGCTCCGTGTCTGGCATAGACCAGGGATGCATTCCCATACTCCTCTGCCTCTCCCATATGCCAAGGTCCAATTTATGGGCATTAAGGACATAAACACTATTGTGGGGGTCCCTTTTCCTTTCCACTGCCCGTTGCCAGGGAGCATGCCCCTCTGCACGTGCACGTCTCCATCAACAGCTAAGGGAGTTCCATCCACAGAAAACTCCACTGCGTTGACTGCGGGGCCTTTGTTCTGTCTGTCTTAGGGGCTGCTGTTCTGGTAGGGTTCAGAAACCCAGATCCGGATTTCTGTCTCATCTAAGAAGTCATCTGTTCAGTTCCCACATCCTTCTCCACCCAAAGCCATCTCCCAGCACCATGAAGTCTATGCAGACGTATCACTGGGTTTTTGGTCTGAGCATTTGTCCCTGCGTGGCTTGGTGGTTTAGCTCTTGTCAGGCAAATCCCCACACAGCCACTTCCTCCCAGCCTGGCCGAGGCAGCCAACCTCCTCCTTCCTTGTGTTTTCTGCATTAGATAGATCACATCTACATTTCCAGCTCTTCGAGGAGGGTCTCGAAGTCTGTCTAGATAGTGGGCCCCTTTGAAAAAGTGATGAAAGTGATGAAT